GCAGTCAGGAGGAGAGAGGCATGGGCAACACCCCATCCCTGACCTTCACACGGGGGCTGGGTCTGTGATCAGCCCTCTGCCCTCTGGGTGGGTGGCTTCCTGGGAGAGTGGCCTGTCCTGTTGGGGACAGATATGGTCTGCAGGGAGGGGTGGAATCTGCCGAGGGCAGCTGTGTGTCTCCTCCAGGCCCTTTCTCTCAGAGGAGAGGCTGGATGTGTGGTGCACGTTGTGTAGCCTTTGGGGACAGCTGTCCCTCGAGCTCTGGTCCCAAGCCTCCATCATCCACCTACCACTCTCGCCTTGAGGCTGGGCTTTAGCATCACAGACCTGAGTCTGTGCACAGTTAGGAATCTTTAACCAACCCCCCAATTATAATTGATTCCAGTTCTGAAAATAAAAGCCACATTTTTCTGGCTCCCCCAAATTCTTTCATTTGAACAAGAGTGGAGGGAGGGGAAAGGAATTGCTTGTTGGTTGTAAAAAGCAGAGGAGGAGGGAGTAGCCTCTGGGAAGCCCCCTGCCGCCCTCTCCTACCCAGACCACCAGTCAGGCCTGGCTGGGTTGGCCGAGGTGGCTCTGCAGGGGCCTGGCTTTGTGGCTTTGTTCCCCCTGCCTGCTCTGAAAGCTCTCTGTAAAGTGGCGGAAGCCCGCTGAGGACAAAGGGGGCCTGTGTGGGTAGCAGGCAGGGAGGTGGGAGCAAGGCCTGGGGTGCCAGCCTGTAGAAGAGCCCCCACCCACCCCATTCCAGGCCCTGGTGTGGTCAGACTGGCCTGATCTTAGGGCCAGAGGCTCTGTCCAGGGTGGACTTTAGCGACCCCTGCGATGTGACCAAGACAGCCTGATTTCCCTGCTGTTCAGCGGGAATACAACACCGGAATGTTCCATGAAGATCGGAGAGGCTAAGAGCAGTGGGGGAAGAGCCAGGCAGGGGAACTGCTTTCAAAATCAGAGCACTGGTGGCAGGGTTAGGTCATAAGGAGCAGCCATGGCTGGGGCAGGGTGTGTCTCTTATTGTTGGGGTGACTGCCACTCAGAAACACACATTGGCGTGCCTAAGCTTGTGAGGAGTTTGCTCCTATGCAGCCTTGCCCCTGCAGTGTCTGGACTTAGGGCAGGCCCCCAGGACTGTGGCCTCTTTGACCTGTGGATCAGCACTGTCAGTCAGTGGACAGGGAGTAGGCCTGGGGACCCCTCTGTCTCTCACTCTGCGACTGACCAGGACCAGTGCTCACCTGTGAAATGTGCCTTTCTTACCTTGTACCAGCTGAGGACACTTGAGCAGAAGGTCCCCTTTGTCCCCTAATTTCTGCTAATGACTTATGCTTTTTGTGCTGGTTAGTGTTAAATTTTAAGGGAAAAATATGAGAGAAAAATGTATACTTAAAAACAATGTTGCTGCTAGGTTCCGTTGTCTTGACCTCACGTAAAGCAGAATAAGGTGTTGCCCGGTCCTGCTTCACCCTCACAATCGTTGCTGTGTTTGAGCCCATTGCTGCAGCCACTGTGTTACTCCTTCTTATTGAGAGTCTTCTTCACTGACCCTCTACTCCACCAACCATGATGTCCTTCTCCAGAGACTGGTGCCTCCTGATAGCACGTCCAAAGCTGCTGTTGAGTTGGCTCTGACTCCTAGTGACCCCTTTGTCCAACAGAACAAAACCCTGCCCGGCCCTGCGCCACCCTCACAATCCTGGCTGTGCTTGAGCCCATCGTTGCAGCCACTGTGTCAGTCCATCTCATTGAGGGTCTTCCTCTTTTTCGCTGACCCTCTACTTTACCAAGTATAATGTCCTTCTCCAGAGACTTCTGACAACATGACTATGGTAGGTGAGGCGAAGTCTGGCCATTCTCATTTCTAAGGAGCTTTCCAGCTGCACTTCTTCCAGGACAGATTTGTTTGTACTTCTAGCAGTCCATGGTGTATTCAATATTCTTCCTCAACACCATAATTCAAATGCATCAATTCTTTTTCTCTCTTGTTTGCTGCTCAGCTTTTACATGCATATGAGATGATTGAAAATACCTTAGCTTGGGATCAGGTGCACCTTAGTCCTCAAGGTGACATCTTTGCTTTTTAACACCTTAAAGAGATCTTTTGCAGCAGATTTGCCCAATGGAATATGTTGTTTGATTTCTTGACTGCTGCTTCTATGGGTGTTGATTTGAATCCAAGTCAAATGAAATCCTTGACAACTTCAATATTTTCTCCATTTGTCATGATGTTGCTTAGTGGTCCAGTTGTGAGGATTTTTGTTTTCTTTATGTTGAGGTGTAATCCACAGTGAAGGATGTAGTCTTTGGTGCTTCGAGTCATCTTCACTTTCAGCAAGCAAGATTGTGTCATCAGCAGATGGCAGGTTGTTAATTAGTCTTCCTCTAATCCTGATTCTGTGTTCTTCATATGGTCCATTTTCTTGGATTATTTGCTCAGCATACAGATTGAGTAAGTACGGTGAAAGGATAAAACCCTGACACATTCCCTTCCTGATTTTAAACCATGCAGTATCCTCTTGCTTTGTTAGAACAACAACCTCTTGGTCTACGTACAGATTGCCCATGAGCTTAATTAAGTGTTCTGGAATTCCTGTTCTTCACAACATTATCCATAATTTGTTATGGTCCGCACAATTGAATGTCTTTGTATAGTCAATAAAACTCAGATAACATTTTTCAGCCATGTCCTCTTCTGAGTTGAGCTTGAATTCCTGGAAGTTCCCTGTCAATGTATTGCTGCAACTGTTTTTGAATTATCTGCAGCAACATTTTACTTGGATGTGATATTAGTGATATTGTTCAGTGATTTCCTCATTCCGTTGGATCGCCTTTCTTTGGAATGGGC